CATCAGGACTCCCACTAGTTTGAGGTTGAGGACCTCCAGAACCTCCAGAACCTCCGGGACCTCCACTGCCTTGAGAAGCATCAGGACTCCCACTAGTTTGAGGTTGAGAACCTCCAGAACCTCCGGGACCTCCACTGCCTTGAGAAGCATCAGGACTCCCACTAGTTTGAGGTTGAGGACCTCCAGAACCTCCAGAACCTCCGGGACCTCCACTGCCTTGAGAACTGTCAGGACCTCCTCCAGAACCTCCACTGCCAGAACCTCCACTGCCTTGAGAACTGTCAGGACCTCCTCCAGAACCTCCACTGCCTTGAGATTGAGGACGTCCACTGCCTTGAGAACTGTCAGGACCTCCTCCAGAACCTCCACTGCCTTGAGATTGAGAACTGTCAGGACCTCCTCCAGAACCTCCACTGCCTTGAGATTGAGGACCTCCAGGACCTCTAGTAGGCTGAGGACCTTCAGGACCTCTACTGCTTTGACCAAAGATTTCATCCACTTCATTACTTATCTGCTCTCTCCAATTTGATGAACGACTTGGTGGTCCTCCTGATGTACCTGTTCCACCTGTTTCTGATGGAGAAGAAGTATCTGAAGTAGGGCTTGAGGGGCCTTGACGACGAATGAAACGTTTTTCAAATACTGCATCTGGAGAGCCTACAGGATATGATAACGTGATGGTTATTAGGAGGATTGTGATGCTGAAGGATAGAAATAATATAAAGATGAATTTTTGAAACATCGCGGAGAAGGGAATATGAATAAATTTTATTTTTTTACAAAATTAATTTATTAGTTTTGAGACAGCGCGAAACCAAATCGATCAAATTATATAAATATTTTGTCGCAGCCACATTACAAAATAGTTGGGCTCACAACAACGTAATAAAGAAAAACGATCAAGCCTCAATTATTACGCGTATTTCTCAAATCTCGACTAAGCCTTGCTATCGGGTAATAAAAGCCTAGTTTACGCGTACAAATGACAAAACGATCGATCATATATATTTAGAGATGTATATTCAGCCTCAAATGGTCAACAACGTACGATCATTTAAAAATAACAAAGCCACGTTTTTTTCTTTATATACATTAAATATAGCAATCGAATAATACAGCAAAATTGATATACATATATACAATAATAAACATTTCCGACTCTAACTTTTTTCTAAAATAAGCTTTCAATTAAATAAGAACTAACTTCAACATTATTTTTCAACCCAAACACTGAATATCGACGTTTAGTTATACGAAAAGTAGTTCCATTTGTACATAATGGAAAAGAAATTCTAATGAGACAAATTTGTGTGTAATAGGTTGACTTCAGTGACCAGCCTGGACCGGATATTGAGAATTGGGATGTTCCGGTATTCAAAGGTTTCTTTATTATATATATATATTATATAGAAAGAAAATTAGTGAAATAGGATAATTTAAGAGAAATCTGGATGATACTAATTAGCGTACGTTATTTGCAATCAAAGGCGTATCATTTCCAACCTTGTAAACCGCGGCAGTTACATAAGCTATACGAATTATTAATTATAATGAAAAATCATTAAGCTTTTCTAGCAAAAATTAAATATATAACTTAATAATATACTAACGATTTCCAAGAATCCCAGATGCCCACCAACTAATGGTTTGTTGACTTCCAATAGCCCAGGGTCCTGGTCCTGGAGAAACCACATGAATCTCTGGTACAAGCGCTGGTAAAGCATTTATTAATCCCACAGTCGTTATGAATATCATAAATGCCCTCATAATCAATGTAATTGAAATTTTACTGTTAATTAAATTTGGCATTTCTTATTATACGTAGAAGTTTTAAATGCGTTAAATTTATGTCAATTTAAATTTTGTTCTAATTTACAGATTTATTAGATCGATAAGTACTGTATATGTCGTGTTTATTGTTATTGTTATCTGTTATTGGTTAATCCAAATAGATTTTCAATTCATACCTTTTATATATAATCAATTTTGTTCTCAATTCCTGTAGGCCGTGCTCTGGATGTTTTATTATGTAATCAGAAACATGTATCCTAATATCCGTGTTTTTGTCAACAAAAACTAATACGTACGTACGTCGTAGCACGTACATATCTGTTCCCCTGATGATTCAGAAAATAAAGCATTGACTTTATGGCCCTTATGATATTGTCGACAATAAAGGGTCTATACGGATAAAATGAGTACACTATCGCTATCTTACTATGCAAGATATTGTTGAACAGAGCATATACAATTATGTAGAAATGCGTTTTCTTTTTAAGTATTTTATGTATAACGAATAAAGTATAAATTAAGTTCGACTCCTCGTTTCGTACAATGGAGCCGTTAGCTTTACTAGGAATAGTGCTGAAAAAAGTGAAATCATTTACATCTTTAACAATTTCAATGTTGAAAAGATTTTCTAATCCCACATATATATGTGTCGATATATACTATATAAAACGATACAATTATTTGTCGGAAAACTATTACAGGCAATACATACAAGCCTTGGCTCGGTGTGCATTGTTAATGCGAATATCCGTTAAATCGATTTTTTTGATCTTTGAATGTTCAAATTCAATAGTAATTTCAATGCGCCTTTTTTTTTTTTTCAGAAAATCTTAATTATTCTGTTTTTGGTTATTAAGGATACGGGAACGCCAAGAAAAAAACCTGTAATTTACAATCTTAACGCATAAGTTTTCATGGCACTACCTAAAGCTCATAGGCAGACATTCGTATGATTGGCTGTTTAAATCAATTTAATTTTACGTTATTTATACAGTTTAAAGTACTTTT